AGTTTCCATGTTTCTGCAGCTGCTCAGGGCTCGCCACCTGCGTCTCGCTCGCCCGCCGGCTCCGGCGGAGCTGAAGAAAACTTGTGGAAAGAGGAGGAGAGAGGCTGTAATTCGGGAAACGCTCAGGTTTGCCTTTGTGTTTTTAAGTGCATTTGAAAAGGTTTGAAACATGAATTTACTCCCCCCCCTTTTTTTTTGTCATGTAGGGATTTCTCTTCCTGCACCCTTATGCTTCTCCTGATGGTGTGTATAATCTCTGGCAGCTCAGTAAAAGAACATCAAAACCTCAACAAGGCCGTAAAGAGACACTTTATAAGGTAAACACCCAGACGTTGCATCGATGCACTCCAGACATAACTCATAAACACGGAATAAAAACATTTCTAATATCTTTTGACAGACACAATTTTACATTTAGCTCCATAAAAACACACGAGGACTGGTGGGAGTGGACGCAGTCGAGTATGCTCGACTACCTGTACCAGAATTCATCAGCAAAACCCGAAGTGAGCCACGTCAACAATCCTTAAAAAAAACAAAAACATCTGATATAAATGTCCATTTTATACATAAAATATACGTAAAGTTTTAATTGTTTTTTTTTACTTTTCGTATTTTAAGTTAAAATAAAAAGTAATGGTGAGAAGAATAATTGATGATTCGTTTTAACACGGTGTTGCTTTGAATGATCTTTCAGCAGCCACACGTTGTCATTGGAGAGCCCGTCATACAGAAGACAGATGGCTCCAGCATATTTCAGGTAAATTAGAAACATTCACAGTACGAAATTTTTCTGTACATCTAAAACATGCTACGATACAAAAAGTTATTTGGGAAGCCTCAAGGCAGCATATGCTATGATTCGTTAAGACACCATTATATATTTCTAACAAGATTTTCTTCAAATAATATATTCTTAAATTAAATACTCTCTAATGATATAAGAGTCTTCACGAATGGCCAAAAAAATAGTGTTACAGTTTCTTTAGACTGTTTTACTTTATTGATGTCAATTCAGAATCTATCCAGATTCTGAATGAATAACTAAAATAATAATTTGATCATCTTTGCTGTATAATATTTGGTACAGTTTTTGGAACTAAAGCTTGGTTCTTGCCCGTCTTTTGCTTAATGTGTTGTTTTAAATGTATTTTCATTCGCATGCCCTCTGCCAAACTCAACATCATTTTCAATTTATCCCAGAATCCCGTGCTGACAAATCCACAGACAGAGAAAGCTCCTGCAGTCAGTTTAGGCTGCACAAGGTGAGACCCGCGCAGACACAAACATTGTTTCCTTATGCCAATAACTGCTGATGCTGACTCTGTGACGTTATGTGTATTGCTTTGTTTTATTTATTGTTTCTCCGCAGGTCTGAAGCTGCATCAAAACTCAAGACTTTGAAGTCGAGCAGCTGGATGGACCGATGGACGGTGGCCCTGAAGGTTCAGTTCACCTTGTACAGCCCTGCGCCTCACTTGTTTAGCAGTGTGAGTCTGGTATCTGAGCAGAGCCCTGATGGTGTACTGCTGCACTCCGTCAAAGTCCAGTCAGTGAGGGTGTTGCACACCACGGAGCCTTGGGACTACGTTGCCATGGTTTCCAAGGTAAACTACTCATTCTAACCTGGCAGAAACACACCTGAAGTAAACAGACTGAAGTGATGTCTTCTCTTCCACACCAGCTGCTCTTCCTGCTCTTGATTCTACTGCAATCCTACAATCAAGTGTCCATTGTTGCACAGCAAGGGCTGATGGGATGCAGGAGAAGACCTTGGATGTGGCTGGACGTAAGTGAACCAAATCTTCAGTCACATCCACATGGACTGGGTAAACAGGGAGACATGCTAAAATTATCCAACACACTTATGCATAAAGGGCCACGGTAGCTTTTCTGAAAGGTTAGCCTACCTGAATCATAAACATGTCTGATGATGATTCAGAAATGCTTCACGTTTCTGCTCTGTCTCTCCTGCACAGGTCAGTCTGCTGCCAGTGACTCTAATCTGTTATTCCTGTTTGACCTATCACTCCGCCATGATCATGGAAGTTGTGAGTTTGCTGCAGACACAACACAGAGGACATGTTGATGTTAGCACTGCGGCGAGCTGGGAACAGGTGAGAGACTGAAACAAAGGACGGCAGGGAGATTATTGTATCATTATTATTTGTGTTTTGTCTGTGCAGAATATTCGGACCCTGTGGGGGGTTGTCCTCTTCCTCCTGACCATAAAGTGTGTGACTCTGCTTGGAATGAACAGAACATTAAGTTCTTCAGCTGCAGTTCTTACACAGACACTCTCCAGTCTCTTTTGGCCTGTGGTAAAAAATATATATTATACAGTAACAATGCTGCTGAAAGTTCCCAAAATGTCACAGAACTTTTGCTTTAACTCGAACATTTCTTTCTTACAAGGTTTTGTTTACTGATGCTCTTTCACCTGGAAGGTTTCAGGCCTGATCCTGCTGCTGGCACTGTCCTGTTCGGGTCACCTGCTGCATGCAGGAAGCTGCTGGCCTTTCAGCTCGGTTCCTCGCTCCCTGCCGGCTCTGCTCCGTCGCTACCGTGGACTCCAGGTCAAAAAGAACCGCCTCTGCTCAGGACAGGATTTCTCTCACTGGGCCGTTCTGTTTCTGACAAATACTGCTGTGCGGACGGCGATGGTACATATTTCCAATTGAACAAATGGAGCTCAAAAGAGGATTTTTATATATTTGAATAGCTGTTGCGCCCCGACAGCCACATGTCTTTCTTACAGGTAATTGGGGTGATATCCTTATTGGTGAAAATGGCGAGAAGACCTCAGAGCAGAAACATTACTTTTACCACAGGGGAACTATTAAGCTACTTAAGAATGAAGGTGTCTGAATTCACTGGACGGCAAAAGCGAGTGAGGATGGATGATCATGATAAAAAAAGGGTAATAAAAAAACATTAAGCTAAAAATAAAAATGAGATAGAATAGTATTAAAATACATGTAAAACTGAAATAAATTTTAAAAACCATGTGATGACTCCACATAAACTGAATTTGTTACAGTTTATTTATTTACTAAAGGTCTTATAGCACCAGAATCCTTTATTCATTAACAGAATGCAGATTGTAAGTTAGGTTGAGGCATACAAACTACCTGTCAGATACACATTCAATATTTTTATTTGCTAGATCAAGAGAAACATTTCATATTTATAAGAAAAAAAATACAATCATCCGTCTAAACTTGTTGTCTGCATTCGGTAAAAGACCATTAATTTTTCCAGACTCATGTTCTTGAGGAGTTGGAGAGCTCCATCGACGAATTGTTGTTCAGACTCGACGTCCTTTCCAACAGCATGAACCAAACGCATCGCTACAGAGAGGGGGACAGCCCTGTCCTCCCAGCCTCGCCACAGTCCTCCAACATAGACGCTCAGGTGAGGCAGACGCCATATCCAACATAAAAAAACGTAGTTATATAGTTCTGTTGTGGAAAATAAAACTTACATGGCTTCATTGATAGTCATGGGAAAACTAAGTAAGTAGATGTGCTCTCAGCAAACTCACACCGAGGTCTGATCTCTTACTGCTGGCCTTGGTCAGCATGGTAAATGTTCCAGTTCAAAGCTGGGTTAGAAAACCAATGAGCAAGACTCACTTTTTCAGAAGAGTGACTCTGAGAAAGTTTCTTCCGTATGGATGTTTGACAATAAAGTATACAACACAATATTTGGCTTAAAAAACTATCAGAACCCAAAGCTTTATGCCGACTCTCTGGCATGGTGACTTCATCGACTGCATGGAAGCACTGCAATCAGTGACATCCTTTGTAAGCTTCATTATTCTGGAGTCAAATTTGAGGCCGTGAGTCTAAAATTGAAGGGCTGAAAGGAAATAAGCCCAGTCAAAGTCCAGAAGTGTTGAAGAAGAACGACTGAAGACACCAATAAAGTCATGATTTATTAAGACATCAGATGTACAGTACATTGTTTTCCAATGGCTAACCAGTCCTAAGCTGTTTATGGTTCTGTCAGGAATATCTGAAGTCACAGACTGTGGTGAAAACACAGAAAACCCAAAAGTCACATGAAGTAACAACCCCACCTGCAGCTCGCCTGTTCAGGTAACAGAATTTGACTTGCAGCTTTATCCTAAAGCAAATATCAAAGTGCACTCAAATCTTCATTGCTATTACCTCCAGGTCCAAGGTTGAAACGGAAACCCCCAAAATATCAGAGGGTACAAGTGAGACGCTAAAAATTAAAAACTGGATGGCATCTCCAGAGTCGACCTCCTCCGAAACGCTTTGGTCAGAAGATATTTGTGAGAAACAACCTGAGCTGCAGGCTGGAACCAATCACAGCTGCTGGTTTACTGGAACTCACTATAAGTTGGTGGAGGTTCTGGTCCATAAGGACCCCGAACCAGGAGAACCATAATCCATTGTTCTTGTTTGTAAGCAACTCTGGGAAAGAAACGTCTCCAGCAGATGCCATCAGATGTTTTGCTGCCACTGTTTGTGTATTGTTTTCACAGAATTTATAACGCAGATTGCAGTAAATAAATGCAACCTGCATTTATTTACTGCCATAAATAAACAGAGACAGCTGTGATTAAAAGAAATATAACAAAAAACCATAGACTGAAGTCTGACTGTATGTAGTCTATAAAACATTTTGTAGCTTGTACTAATATCAGAATAAAAAAGAAATATGCTTCCCTGATGATATCTTTAATTTCACATAATAGTAAAATTGTTATTTGATTCTGTATTTAAAAAGTAAAAATGTGATTTCAATCTGAATTTAGATGGGTTATATGCTAAGCTATTATGTGCATAAATATCAGTCAAATCTAATTGGTAGTTAACAAGACTTTCAACTTTCTGTGCTGGTTTTTTAAGCCAGACATAGGAATGTAAAATTATTTAGCCATTTTCCTTGGCCAGCCTCAATAGTTAAGTTTTTTTTGTTTTTTTTTTTTTTTGGGAGTTTTTCTAAAAACACTATTAGTGGTCCATTCACTAACTTATTTTCTGTTTTCAAGATTTCAGGCCAAACATTCAAATACATATTTAGCAACAGAGAGGAAATTTAACCAATAAAACACTTGGATACAGATTTAAATATAGATTTGTTCATTAAATTTGGAAAGATAAGTTTTAAGTGTAACCTTACAATATTTATTCTGTAATTTATAACCAACAGTCAAGAACACAAAAATATAATTTGCTGAATGAAATTGAACACTTACATTTATTTAAATGAGTATCTAAATAATAATAATAAAAAATATGTCCAATGTGCTAAAGTACAAAATCAATCTTTAAATTCAAGTCAGAATTTTGACTGAGGAAAGTGAGGTAAATTTCAATTATAATCTTAAGTTAGTTCAATTAATTTGCATGTGTTTTCCAACATATTTATTATTAAGCTTTTGTAACATATGTATGAATTTGTTGAAGAGAAAAGATGTCTATCTTTACAACTGGAAAAGAAGAAATCCAGTGAAGGTGCTGTAATTTCTGTGGTCATCATAGACGGTGTAGGGTGCCTGAAGAACCATGTAAACCACATCGCCTCGTTCCAGCTCGAGTATCACTCCGTTAGACATGGTTTCATAGTAGGTGTTACTTCTGTCATAATTAGTCATGATTATCTTGCTGTTATGATACAAATGAATACCCATCCAGTGAGCATTGTTGATCTCACAGAAGGTGAATCTGAAATAGTATGCTCCTCTGACTGGGGCAGTGAAGACGCCTACGAAAAAGAGAAACAAATACGAAAGCTTTTCAGAACTCTGTTTGTGTGCATTAGCACAGTGGCAGTTTTAAATATGGGGCGCACAAGCAACAGTTTAGTTGTAACTCCAGCATGTTCTCTAGTTCTTTTATGCATGTGCAACCAATGAAAAGTGGCATCATCCTTGCTGTAAGAACCAGGAAAACTAGGCAGAAGGAGGACTGGCCAGGGTGCCGCTCATACCAAAACTGCCACTTTAAGTGAGATGGGTCATTACCTGTGTCTGGGTTGTAGGCTTGACCATAGTTTTTTAATATTTTACTAAACCTCAGTGTGATGTCAGTATTATAGGGTCCAAGGCGCCCTGCATTTGTGAGGCCAAGTGAGAATGCCACTTTTGGTTGATCTGTGGGAAGAGACATAGATGAGACACTAGAAAGCCATTGGAGTCACTCAGCTTAAGGCAAAGGTGTGGGTTATTCTGTTTAGAGGTGGGACATGTCAATTCCTCCTAATTATAGCACTCATATACGTTTGCTCATTGTCTGTGATTGTCCATATAATGACCTGGATTCAAGAGTATACCATCATATTTGTTTATTTGTCTTTCTTTACCTGCATTCTCGCTCTTGATTTCCTCCATCTCCTTCTCGGCAGAGCTTATTCTGACTTCAAGGTCTGCAAAGGTGTACATAAGATTTCAAAAAGAAGTCAAACTTGACCTTTTCCTGATCCTACATCTGTCTAAATCTTTCACATATCAGTCACTTTCATTGCTGTTAGATAAAATATCTACTTTTGCAACATGCAACATTATTGCATTAGTGTCTTTTAGCCAATGCATCACCTAATTTTTCTTGCTCCAGCTTCTCTATCCTGCTCAGGTAATGCTTCAGGTCAGTATTGTTAGGTTCCGTGTTTCTGTGTGTTTATTTTTGAGTTTCTCTGTGTTCAGTCCTGTGTTCCTGTGAGTCTCTGTCCTGTCCTCCCCGTTGATTGCTCCCCAGGTGTGTCTACTTACCTGATTACCCACCTGTGTCTGTGTTCTTCGTCGGGTCCTTGTCTAAGTTTGTCTACTGCCGTCGTGTTGTAGTTTGTCACTCGCCAGTTGAACTGTAAAGTCCTGGTTTGTGCTTGCTCCCGTCGAGTCTGATGAATCAGTTGCTACCGGTACTTAGCTGTGTGCTAGTCTCTGCCGTGCTGCCTGTATGGACTGTGGAGCTTTATTTTCACCATTAAATTCATCATCATCACCATAACCTGGGTCTCAGCGTTCTCTCCTCACCACTTCAACCCGCAACTCATGACAAGTATTTAGTTCGATGGTCATGTCTCTGAGCTCCTTCAGCTCGGCCCAGAGGTCCACAGTGCCGTTGGTCTGATTGGTGCTCTCGGCCTGATTTGTTTCAACACCTTGAATCTCAACCTGAAGACCTTGATCCAGAGTTTGAGCAGCGTCATTGTCCGCCTTGCTGTGAGCCCAAGTCCAACACTGACAGAGGAGCAAAATGTGAAAAACGGCAAATCCCCTCATCCTGAAATGTTTATGTTGCAATCTTGGAGGACCTGCTCTCCTCCGTGTTTTATACCAGCAGAAAGCAGGTCACCAAGCAGAAGCCTGAGAAATAAGCAGATGTTTCTGATAATTCCCTTAGTTTTTAGTGTTTTTGTTTTGATAGTTCCTCCAAAGTAGGACAGAGAAAAACATGAGAGTAAAACATGTCATAGACCTGATCATTTGAGAATCTACCAGGTGTATCAAACAAAGACAAACTTTATAGATTTATTTATCTTTTTTGGTTTACTATTGATTTTTAGAAAGTAGAACAGAGGAAATGGGTGAGGTTGAGTAAATAGACATTTGGACCCAGGTTTGAATCCCAACGTAGTGTCTGTCTGTCATCCCCATGCATATTACGTCATATTGCCAAATTGAACTCTTGTTCAAAAATGTGTCCGACAAGTCTTCCAGAAAGACACTTCGGCTTTAAAACCTTCATAACACAGTCCTATTTAAACAAAATTTAAGTGTGGTTCAAAGTCTGGTCTACTGTAATACTCCACGTTATAAATCAAGTGGACAAACACATATTAGAGGTTTCTCTGTTAGAAACCTCTAACAGAGGTTTCTAACCTCTGTTAGAGGTTGGTGTGGAGAGGGAAACTGCTCCCTCTCCACACCAATTGTCCACAATTGGTATGGAAAACCAAAACTGTTGGATCTGCTTCTGCATGTTTGGGCCAGTTGCAGGTCAGATAGGCCTCAAGTTCTGCAGTTAGAAGAAAAATCCAGATGCATATTAAGTTCAGACTGTTATGTTCTCCACAAGGTTGAGTCTTGTACTCACGTCTGCATTTCTGTGACTCACCAGTGGGGTCACTGTCATTCTGGCCTCCAAGACTGTCATTAGTCTGACTAAATACAAGTTAGATGAAATAAAATAAAATATGTCTCCCACATGTTTCAGGTAGTTGAATAGTGAGATATGATAGCCAAAAAATGTTGTCTATCTACCTGAATAATAGAATTACAGGTAAAAGAGATGAAAACATTCATTTTGTTTTTTGTTGATTTGAAGTAGGACTGAATCCTGAATTTAATATTTATAAATGTCATATTAGGTGATCATGCAGATGATCCAATCGCAAATAATAAAATTATCACAGGATATTGTCATGATTTATACTTCACTGACCAGTAGAGGGAGCTGCTTCCCAAAGACGGGCCAAGTCCACAAGTTTAAGAGCTAAAACAGTCCATAAGTTTAAGAGCTAAAACAGTATTAGAAAAGGTAAACACATGGAGAATTTCTTTAATATTGAAAAACATCAAATAACAAGCATGCAATGAGACATTAGGTTTATTATTATTATTATTATTATTAGGGTTTTTGTTTGTTTGTTTGTTTGCTTACTTGCTTTTTTTCTTACATTTGGTCTACAATCTGTGCAGAGATTATGGATCCAGATTTAAGGAACTGTGCAACAGGCTTGAAAATAAAACGTCATTCATAATGCAGTTCTGTTTAAACAAAATTTAATTGTGGTTCAAAGTCTGCTCCACTGTAATACTCCGTGCTATAAATCCAGGGGATAAACACAATGAAAACTCCTGTTAGAAGTTTCTCTGTTAGAACAGCGTTATGTGAAAAACTGAAGCTGTTGGCTTTGATTGAGCTCCTCTATTTAGCATATTCAGGTAAATTTTGAATTTCTCAATTAAATTTCAGTTGTGCCCTGAAAGTTGCTGCTACATTTTCTGTATCATGTCTTAGCGCTCAGATTTATCCTCATACACATCCAAACCAGCCCTTCATTTCTGCCATCACGTGTTTCATATCCCAGGATCCCCTGCTAAGGATTTGTGATCACAGCAGCTGCTGTTCAGAGGCTTGCTGCTCCAGCCCACACAGCTAAATTGTTTTCATGCTCCTCTAAGAGCAAATGCCTGGAAAACTAAAAGGAAAAAAACATCATCAACAACAAAAACAAACAAAAAATGCTGAAGGACTCAGTTATTTTAAATCAAGGCTAAAAATCAATTTGCTAGAGCTGCCTTAGATTAATACTTGGAACATCATATATGACATCACGCATAAGCAAGATTAAAATTCTTGCTTATGCGTGAGCAAATTCTTGCTCACGCATAAGCAATATATATATATATATATATATATATATATCGCAAATATATATATATATATATATATATATATATATATATATATATATATATATATATATATTTGTATATATATATATATATATAGTGTACATAAGAAATATATATATTTCTTATGTAAGTGAATTTAGCATGGAGTGAAAATAGTCTCAAAATATCTGTGCGTGTGTAAAAGGATTTGTGCGTGCGTAAAAATATATGTGAGTGCGTAATACTGGATTTGTAAATCTTAAAAATAAAATAAACCTTCTCCTACACCTATAAATGCTGAAAAAGTACACACAAATCACCTGGTACACACACACAAAACTGCATTTACACACTGATCCAGTTACGAGTGCACAAGTATTTTTGAGACTCATTTCACGCTTGGGAGGAGCTCCCAGATTTGTGTGTAAATGGTGCGTTTACATGCTAGTAAAAGCTGGGAAATCTGAATTTTGCTCTGAGTCTAGTGTTTTTAGCCTCTGAACGTTTCTCTGTGCTTGTGCCGAAGTGGCAAATACTTTAGTTCGGTGGAAAACTGTATATCTCAGCACTTCCTTATAATATCCTAAAATTATTTCTAGACATACTGTGCATTTTTGAGCGGTAACAGGAGACAAAGTGGTCTGAAAAAGGACCACTGGTGTCTCTGATGTCTCTGTCTCTGATCTCCGAGTCAGGGCCTGCCTCCAAGTCTGGACCTGTCTCTGAGTCAGGACCTGCCTCTGAGTCAGGACCTGTTCTCCAAGTGAGGACACATCTCTGAGACAGGACCTGCCTCCAAGTGAGGACAGATCTCCGAGTCAGGACCTGCCTCCAAGTGAGGACAGATCTCCGAGTCAGGACCTGCCTCCAAGTGAGGACAGACCTCTGAGACAGGACCTGTCTCCGAGACAGGACCTGCCTCCGAGTCAGGACCTGCCTCAGAGTTAGGACCTGTTGTAAACGAATATTTTAGTAATCTAGTAGTCTATCGATTATTCTTACGATTAATCAAGTAATCTTATAAAAAATTTTTACAAAACAAAGTATTGGTAAATCTGGCATAACAACAGTGTTACTATCAGATATCAATATCAGTCCAATTTTTCATTTTTGAGCTTCCCTAATAGTTACTTTTTTGTAATTTAGAAAACTAACTTGTAATAATAACAACAACTCGCTTTCTAAGTTAACCTGAAGAAATCTGAAATTATTTTCAATTTAATAAAAAGAGGCAGGCTCACAAATAGGCTTATTAAAAATGTCTATAATCCAGCTTTTAGTTCATGTATTCATCTTCAGTCAGTTAATAGATTAACTCTCACGTTGCCCCATACCTGTCAAGCTTTGAGTTTGAGAATACGGGAAATGTGGCCTTGAGAGGTGGTGGTGGGTGGGAGGAGGGCTGGACAGGCGAATGTAAGATGGTGGAAATACGAACGAACAAACCTAATGTGTGTGGGGGGGGAGACACGACTGTAGACCAGGGAACAAAAGTAAGAACTGGGGGGAGCAATACGGAATATTTACGTCACCTTTGTTCATCACACTCAGAAACTCATCTACCAGCCATGTACCGCCACGATGCGCTTCGCCACCCATTTGTTCAGACCGGGATGATAAGAAATTTATTGTGCAGTTCGTCCGTAAAGCTACACTTACACTATAAGCATCAACTACTCAGTCGCACGTCGTGCTAAGTCTATCCGCTCACCTGTATAAATTCACCTGCAGTGCTCTTCCCACTGGGAGCTGCTTTCAACCAGCAGCTCCCGGAGGAGAAAGGCTGCCGTACTCCAGGCATTGCGTCATTCATTATGAGGATGCTTACTGGTCCCTCAGAAACGATGAAAACCCGGGCATTATCATTAATCAATAAAATCCCCACGGTCCGAACTTGAAAATTGGACATTATGCTGCTAACACTTAGCTTTCGTCAACAACTCAGAGGCGGAAGTCAGAGCTATGCATAACGCAAATAATATTCCCACCGGAACACTGTGCACTAAATAATAAAACATAAATAAAGTGTTGTCCAAGTGTGCCATTTGGAGACGCCAAATGAGACTCCAGATGGCACACTTGGACAACACCTGTACATCCTCAAAAATAAACATCTCGAAAATGACATTTCCTTTTTTTGTGCTATTTTGATCAGTCTTGAAAGAGTACTTCTACAGATTTATTGTATTTTATTGTATTTTCCAGTCCATGCATTCAAGACTCAATGTGCATTTACAAGAAATAAAAATGAAAAATCTGTGTGAAGCAAAATTTTTCAATTTTTTTTTTGTGTTACAAATGTAACAGTACAACCCTGCCAGCATGCCCAGGTGGACCCCATATGGGTAAAAGAAGGGCAGACCAGATGGGTCCCATATGGGTTTGTCTGCGGATTCCATGATGGCCTCACATGGGTTTGCCCATTTAGGGCCCATGTAGGGCCCACGCAGGCTGTGTGCTGGTTTGTGCAGCAAAAATTTTCATTTGTGCCGCTATCATTTTAAAGATATAAAGAAATGTTTCTAGAGGTCATCAAAGGTCAACCAGCCCCCCGCCCCCCACCTTCTTCANATCANACAAGATGGGTGTCAATCAACTCGGCTATGTTTGTGCTGGTTTGTGCAGCAAAAATTTTCGTTTGTACTGCTATCTTTTTAAAGATATTAATAGTGGTTTATAGAGAGCAACCAGTACAAACGTAGCACAAACGTTTGACACCACTTTTGTTTGATTTCATAAAAGTGGGGGGGCTGGTTGACCTTTTGACCTTTACACTTTCATTAATATCTTCAATGCCAAAGCAGCACAAACAAAAAATGTTGCTGCACAAACCAGCACAAACGTAGCCGAGTTGATTGACACCAATTTTGTCTGATTTGAAGAAGGTGGGGTGGGGGGCAACTTCACTCAGGTCAGTAGAACACATTGTAGTTGGGGATTGTAATGTAACAAAATGTAAAAAGGTTGGCACATCTTGAGTTCAACTGCTAAAAATTTCAGTTTAAAGTAGTTTCACTTCTTTTTTTTGGAGTGCTAACAAGTTGATAGGGTTGCTGGATAACCTGTCTGTTATCAATTTAACCTGGATATTAAGTAAATGTGTTCAAGTTGTGTGTTTAAATCTAGAAATAGAAAATATTTCAGAACATGTTTGGTTCTCAATAACTTATCAGATGAAAATCAGCATACATTATAACTGAAAAGTGAC